GGTTGTTTTGCTGATTGCACATTGATTTCTTTATTGAAATTCACGATTAGCCGAGAATCAATACTTGTGATTGGTGTAAATTTTAGTATAAAAACCAAATGAGAGGTCAACCTCTTGCTTCCTCGCTTTGCCTGCTGACTAGTTGACGGATTTTGTTAAGTAAATACGTACACAAAATAGTCTCAATAGTAATATGAATTGGACGTAAAAGATACATTTGGCAAAGCACAGAAAAAACAATATAACTTCTTTATACTTTCCTTCTATCTTTTTCGCATTTTATTAATTTTACCCGCAAGACTCCAAAAGAGATTGCTTGGATTTATCAATATCTAGTTGTGTTATTTTTGGAGTTTTTTGCTTTTCCAAGGATCTCTTAGATTTTTTGAGTTAGCGTATCATCCAAGAGTAAAGATAAAGTAAATATATTATCTAAAAATGTCAATTAAAATTGGTCTACTATGAATGTAAACATCACGTTTAGTTCGTGAGGAATGCGTTTTTATAATAGGGATGATGACTAATTTTTGTTTGTTTGTCCGTCATGTAGAGTGTTAAAAAATATTAAACACGTATTTTTTTATTTTTTTTCGTAATCATAAAATTACGGCGTTACATGGAGTTGAAATTTTGCATGACGTCACGTTAGGGTACGTTTTCTACTCAACTGTGACGTAGCGAGCCCCCACTCCTCAACTTTAATGCCTGTTATCTAAGCTATTTCTTGTTAAATTGAAGTAAAAAAAAATACGTATCTAATATTTTTCTTTTATCTGACTGACGGACTAAATAGAATTCCATTTTTTTCACCCAGTCATCATCCCTATTAAGCTTTCAAAATTAAAAAATACTGATAAATCTATATTTTTTAACGTAAACAATCGACGGAAATAGGAACATTTTTATGTTTTATTTAATAAGCATATAACAAATGTATGTATAGCCGTTAGAATTATTTTAAATCTGATTTTTTAGAAGAATGTCGTGTCACGTAATAAGTGACAATGACAACGTTATTAAGAGCTTAATTTCTTCATAGCAGATCAGATAATTTAATCTTGTGAGCAAATTAATCCGTGGATAAGTCGGGTAATTGCACGTACTTCTTTCGTAACTTTTCACATAAGTATCTTTTTATACCTACATAGTTGTTTGAGATAAATCATAATATTTGTGATAGTTAAAATAATTAATAACTTATGGAACTATATTGTACCTCTGTTGAAATGAAACGCGTTCATTCGTATTGATTGCCAAGAGACGGCGTCAATGTTTTATTTTTACTTATTAATAAAAATGACCATATATCTAATCATGTTTATGTTTTAAGTACAACCAATATTTGTATTATATATTCTATTAAACTGTTATTTGGGATTTATCTGTTAAATTAAAAATTGATTCGTCATTTTTGAACCATATTCTGAGAACTTAAACAAACTACATATACTTAGGTTAAATTTGTGCTATATGATGTATCATATTACGTTACCACTTACAAGCCCAAAATATATCATTATCATTAAATAATGATAAAAAACTATAAATCGTGATCTAAGAACAGCAGAGTCATTAATTGAAAGTTAATCCTGAGTTAGTTAAGATCATTTATAAATGCAATTGCAACTTTTATGCAAAGAGACGGGGCATCCATATAGGCAAACCTATTTGGGGGGCGACATAATCTGTTTTGCTCTAACTATTTGATCCCATGTAGTACTTGAAAAAATTTTGCCTTTTTGTTCTGTGGATATGAATCCATGTCCACGTTACTGAAAAGTTCAAAATTTTCAGACTATTAGAACCTAAGGAGTTTCTTTTTACATTAGCAAAATGAAACTATTTAATCGGTGCACATAACTAGGTATATTAGTCTCTTATTGTGTTGGGAGTCTTTTCATGGACATCTTCCTGAGTTTTGCCTATGGCGCCAAATTTCATTGACCTGGCGCTGGCAAAGGGTATTATTGGTACTTTAGAAAAAAGAAGCAGTTTCTGTTCGTCTGAACAACTATCTCTGAATCAGAGGAAATATTTCATAACAATTCAAATCAACTGTTTGTACCAGACAGACAAGTATTTTCGCATACATTATCCTACTATGGATATACTTATCATGGGGAAACCTATCTATTAGGGTATAATTATGGCTCTACTCGTCTAGTTCATATGCATTTTTAATTACCGTTAAAGCGCGTATAATTTAGACAAATATGGAAGTCGGTAACTCTATTGTTGCTTTCAACAACTGATGTTGACAAATTTCGTATTAGTGACGTCAAATTAATGGTCATATAGACTACATAAAGTAGTTTATAATAAAACTAACTATTTTACCGCTGTTTTGCATGCGTTAATTATGTCAACACCGTTACTCCGTGGGTAAAAGAATTTTAAAAACGATCCAGTAGTTTCCGAGCTCATTCAATGCAAACAAACATCCAAACGATCAAATCTTTCTTCTTTATAATATTAGTATAGACTTGCAAAAAATAAATTCCATTATTTTGTTATTTATACTAGGCATTTTTTTAATTATTTAAAAAGGGCTTATCAAATCGACCAGTGATATTGTTGTTGGAATTACACAATATTCGTAATACTAGTGTATAAAGGTTTCTAAGCACGTGCTCTAAATGTCGTAAGTATAACAGTACCTATGTATTCATTCAGAGGTTTTACTTATTATATATTTGACCAGACCACTTATATCTAGAACGTTAACAGGACAAAATTGATCGATAATTTTTTTTATGTACTTTGTCTGAATGTAATTTATTTTGTCTAAAGAAATACCGTCCAAATAAGCTGTAATTAAAAATGAGAAGACTACGTCATATTTGTTCGGTTTTTTAATGAAAGAAAAGAAATCAAAAAATAGATCCTACTTTAAAATAAAACATACATTTAATTTTGAAGTCAGTTAATAAACCATTTTTTCCATTTCTTCTCGTAATTATATTCTTTTTATATGTAAAACTGTTGATTATGTGAGTGATTTTATATCCAAGGACTTAACGGATTACTTGGCAAGAAATTAATAAAATTTAGATTCTGACGCACAACACCTATCTACCCTAACTCATTGACGGACGGGCTGATTTTGTGTCGTTTTCCATTCATCTTGACTGGTCTTGACCTTAGATTATAAAGGTAATGTCGTCTTGACGCCGTCTTAATGAGGCTGAACGCTCGATGAAGTGGTAGTTAGCGCGACTGCAATGCTAAGGTAAAGCAATTTTTCGCAAGGGCTGGTCCATAGAGTTGGTGAATTACAATTATTTCGAGCCCTTCTGTGCTAAAGGCATGTTAAAATCATCAGTTATCGTCAAAATTAATTCATCTGCACTAGTTATGACGCGTTCTCCTTATTTGATTCCATCTACTATACTGAAGGACTGTACCGCAGCAGTATAGGATATTATAGGATTAAAAAATATTATTGATCGAAGAAGTTTCATCAAAATCAGCATAGACTGTTTAGTTTTCAAGAACTTCGAAAAATAATAGGTGGCTAATTTAGAATTGCCCTGACAGCTGACTGACTGATTTAGATACACCTTGCCCAGAGGGGATGAATTCCATTGGGATTTTAAGTTAAATACTGAAAACATTTGGATATATTTGTCCAATACTATTACCATAACGAGCTATATTTAACGAAATCTGTCTTAGTTCTGGATAGGGTCCACGACTTAAGTCGCTGGTCGTAGGAGACTTGAAATAATTATAAATTTGTATTATTATAATCGCAGTTTTATAAATCTTATAAGATCTAAGGTCTACCGTGTTAGATCTATAGGTATAATACCTAAGAACCGATTTTTGGAAATTCCAACCCAAACGACAACTGTATTGGGTAAGAAAGAATAAGCTGGGCGTCTTAAAGTAATATGGGCCGCCGAATTCCAGTCATAGAGTGAGCAAAGACCCTTGAACTGGCAAATGGGTAAGCTGTTTTAAGGATATCTGAAAGACTTCAAAAAATAATTGGTTTCTACTTTATGATATATCATTAAATTTTAATCCATTACTTGTTCCTAGAAAACACAAATTAATTGTAAAACAACTAACATCAGTTGATATATCATCACAAACTGTTTTATATTAGTAAAATTTTGCAGAAAACTATCCTTTACAATACAACAGGAATGAATGAAATGGTGAAATTTTTTATGGTTAATATTTTTAAAGAATATTTTATGTTTTCGAAACTCGTCTTTAACGAAACTCGAATTGATTCTCATTTTTAATTTCAACTTCGTTGGACATTATTTCTTTCTACAAAACCAGGAAAACTTAGTGAATTTGCATCTACGCGCCCTCTTATCGGTTATTTATTATTAGGACCTACCATCAATGATTCGTCATTGATTAAATTAAGTACTCAATATGATCTTAAGGTTGTAACTGAATCGTACCGCGTACAAGTGTGCATATACGTATCTATTGCCTATTGTATGCTTCGTAAAGATTAAATAGGTAGGAAGAAGGAAGGTACACTCAACAACGCGCCAGGTTGTCATACAATGTCACCGCTGTTAATTTTGTACTTAACACTTAATAAAATAAGGTTTACAATCGATTACAGATTTTTTTGTTATTTGGATAACAGTTGATATGCCGTTAGCAGTACATACCTACATTAATTTTCGTTTCGATATTTTTTTAATCCCTCCATGCTATTTTAAATAATTTTCTAGTAAATGTTTGTTGGTGTAAAAAAGGAAAGAATTTTTATAAACAAATTATCTAATATAAGAATAAAAATATCTGTGGTAATATTAGTTTTTAATAATAGAAAATTAGAACTTATTCTTTAAAAATAATTATGGACACGGGAAGAAACTTTCTTATTGTTGTGTTATTTAAGTTTTAAAAATTAATATTAGACATATTCAATAATTTCTATGCTAAAGTAAATTATATTCTTCGTTTCATTAGACATCGCCTAGACGGTAATAAGATTTATATAATTTATGAAAGTCACATTTACTTACTGCAATGTCTTTTGTGCCGTGACTGTAGTAGCTAACAGTAAGAACTGCCCAAACAATGTTTTTAAATTCATCATGTACAAAGAAACATCGAGTGCACTGTCGTTAGCACGGGCCGTGACCGGTCCGCTACGCGAGGTAGTTTCACTGCTACTGCTTGGTGTATGCGCGCGCGCCAACTAGAAGCGGTTTTCCGTGGAAAACAGATAAGGCTGCGCGGGCGCCTGTGTTAACAAAACTACGCGAGTGAGCTTTTACGTAGTTATTTATTATAGTAAATTGTTTTAAGACAATAATGACATGCGTCACGGGATTAAATAACCAACCAGATGACTCAAGAAGCCGTCATCAGTAAATACAAGCAAGAAACTAAATAAATTAAACAAAATATCAATTCGTTTCTAATTACATTTATTTCACTGTATATGGTTGCATAGAGTTTACAGTATAAGTGATAAAATTGAGATCCTGCAATAAATTTGTTAAACGATCAAAATGCCGTTCTGTATAAGGTAACGTACCTTCAATAAGACTACTAAGAGATGACACTTTAAGATTACCATTTAAAATTTCTGGTGAAAGAATGTTAAATACCAGTTGAGCAGCATGGCAGTTCTTATTATTTGTATTCCATTCAGCAGCAAATTTTAAGAGTGTTTGTTTTTGTGTATCATTGATTTCTTTAAGACTTTCAAAAAGTTTTTCATTTCCATTTTTTAATACTTCATTGACTATTTTTAAGACATGTAATGGCCTCTCCATTCTTAACGCCAATTTAAGAGCTTTGATCATTTTTTTATCATGGAGTAAATTCATTAATTCTTGTTCTTGTAAGATTGATAGTTCCCTTTCCTTCGCTAACTTTTCTCTGCGCTCTAAAGTGATGTCTTTTAATTTAACTAATTTAGAATCAGAACCTCCTGTTACTACAAGTTCCTCATTTTTATTAACAGCTAGAGCCCAAATTTTTCCATCATGGTTATCTACAGACACCTTACATTCTGAAGATTTAATATTCCATAGTTTAAGAAGACCATCTGCACCGCAAGACATTATTTGCTGGCCTCTACTAAGGAATTCCACCTTCAAAACTGAACTTTCATGTCCTTCAAATGTTTTTAAACAGCTCAAATCAGCTATTGACCACAACTTAATCAAACAATCAGCTGAAGAGGTTAGTACAACTTGATCAACAGGTGAAAATCTAACACACCAAACACCTCGTCTATGACCTTTCAATACACCCAAAAGTGTCAAGTCTTTTGTCCACAACTTTGCTGTTTTATCTTGTGATCCAGTTGCAATCATGCTGTCATTTGGTGATACAGTAACACAATTAATATCCATCTGATGAGCCAGCTCAGTGTGACTAGATTTTATTTTCTGATCAATACAATCCAATTCATTAGGAACTGACCAAACTTTTAAGCAATTGTCTTGACTTACAGAGGTGAAAAAATCATTTGATGTCTGAGAAGTGAACACTGAACCTACAGATGCTGTATGTCTGGTACCAACACCTACACATAGAATTATATTATCATCTTTACAATGCCATATCCTGACACTGTTGTCTTTAGCTGATGAAACAAATAAATCTGGCCTTGTGGGAAATTTTGCTAATGCCAGAACAATATCAGCGTGCCCTTTGACAATCTGACAGTTCATAGTCTCTAATTCATAATATTTTAAGTCTCTACTATTTGTAGCTACAATAATATGTCTTTCATCTTTACCAATGAATATTATATCTAACACTTCATCTGTAAAGCCTACCATTTGTTTCTGACAACTAAATGACTTTAAATCATGAACTATAATATTATGGTCTGCTGTAACAATAGCGATAATATTTCTAGCTTCATTGAATAATAAATGAGTGATTGAGAGCCCTCCTTCTTCTTGAGCAGGTGATGCCAAACTGTTAATCTGCTCATACATTAAACGATTCTTCTCTATATTCCAAATTTTCACAACACCTTTTTCTCCAGCACAAGCAACATAAATTCCTTCCATTTCTATTTTCTTCTTAAAGTTAGGAATTATAAATGAACTTGGTAACAGTATGCAAACTTCAATGCTTTCATAGACTGGTATCACTTTGAGAGCTTTGCTTTCATTTAATTTCCAGAGAATAAGCACTCTATCTCTACCTGAACTTATAATATATTCACCATCAGATGTGAACTGTATAGAAGTTACTTTGCTGAAATGTCCAGAATACAAAATACTTTCTTTTCCTGTTTTTGAATTCCATGATCTTATTTTTGTATCATCAGCAGCTCCAAATATTAATTTTTTATTTGAATCAGGATGATATTTCAGAATTGAAAATACACCCACTGATCCTCTTAAGCTACTAGTGCATGTGTTATGTTCTAGATCCCACAATCGTATGTTACCATCAGATCCCCCTGATGCTATATTTTCATCTACAGAATCGAATGCCAAACGTGCAACTGCGCCTTTATGGCCAGATCTCCATAGTTTCATTAGTTTTCCAGTTTCCCTTTCCCAAAGTTTTATCAAACCACTTTTATGTGCACTCACAATTAAATCATTATTGTGGGAAAGTTGAAATGTGTATATTTGATCACTTTCTAAATTTTCATCCGATTGACCGATTACATTTACTGTAGATACATTATTAACATCTACGACTTTAATAACATCATCACATAGGCAAAGAAGATTCACTCCATCGATTGTTAATTGTATGTCTCCCCCAGTGAAGAACGCACCATACTCGGCAATTTTTTCATATCTGTAACAAAAAGTAAATTTTTATCTGCTTTCAAAACAGGAACAGGAAATTTTCAATCACAATGTATAATAAATTGGTAATTCATTATACTATAAAAATATACTTACTCATCCTTTATGTTCGTCATTCTTTTGAATTCCTAATATGATTTATTAAAAATAGAGTATCACTATTTATTTAGAAAAATACAACCTATATCATTTTAAAAACACGTGTGTTTGATTAGCATTGTTTTTTTTTTCCTTTTCAGGCAAAGATCTAATGACCATGCAGTCTTATGATTTGCATTACTGTGCACCATAGACCTATAAAGACTCAGCTAGGAATGTAACGGCACAATTCGATATTATTAAATTAACCTACAAAAATATCGAAGTTTATTAATTTTGTCGCCACAGTACTTTCCCTGATTTCTCCGTGACAACCCTTCCGGTTTTCTTTTTCGTAAATTAATTTTCAAAACTCAATAAATAACTTCTATTTGTACTTTCTCGTATTTATATTGATATCTAAGTTTCGAACTTTGCAAGTTCAGTTATTTAATATATGTATTAGTTATTAGGAACGGAAAAAAGTATCTTTGATCCATTAGTTTCCTGCAAAAATCTACTTTTGGTAGAGTCATCATCTTGTGAGGTGCTTTTTTTTTCTTAAAATACTTCCTCATTGGGCAGTGTTAAATAACAGAACATATAAAGAATACCAAAAAGCGGTGAAATTTACAATAGTATAATTTTGGAAATCTGGCTCATTATTTGATACAGTAAACTAAGCTAATTACTATGTAGGATGGAAATAAATCGTGATGCAGTAATTATGTAATGTTTTAAATGTCAATAAGGAAGTATTTAAAAAAAATTAAGTTCTCGAAATCAAACTAGATGGCGCTACGGTACATTCTTGATTTCTCTATGACAACCTTTCCAGTTTAAAAGTAAATTAGTTTTCAAAACTCAATAAACGACCCATACTTTATTTGTACTTTTTCGTATTTGTATGGATATCTTAGTTTCGAACTTTTTAAATTTCAGTTTTTTAATATGTCAGTTACAAGGAACGGAAATGACTGTCTTTGGTTCATTCGTTTCCTGCAAAAGTCAACTTTTGCTAGAGGCACCATCTAATGTAGGTGCTTTTTTAATGCTTTCGTTTTTTTTTAAATACTTCCTCATTGTGTACAACCAAAGTTACGAAAGTTAAAGCTGACGATGCGTTTAAGCACACATCTAGGGTTTCATTAATCAAAGAAATCAAATTCCTTATATTTCACGCAACTTATTAATAATTAAAAACGTCATGAAATCAAATACAAACACGCTGAATCCATTTAAACAAGTGAATATTAGTTGTATAGAATAATAAAATAATATTTATAGAATATTTTTTTTATTCGAATTACGTTTTATATATCACTGTATATGAATACAACGCTGTATTAGCTATAATTTGCTAAGGAAATTACTGATCTCTCGCTCTTGTTCATTATTTTGATTCGACAAGACTATAGCTTCCAACTTATAAATATCACAACGAGATATTGTATGGAAAAGTTAAGAATTGAGAAGAACCCGAATCGAGTCTTTTCTTTCTGATTAAAATACTAAATCTGATTTCTATTCGATGTTTTGAAACATAACCTCAAAATCTTTATTTATCCTTACTCAGTTTCCTAATGAGGAAGTATTAATAAAAACGAAAGCACTAAAAAATCACCTTCACTAGATGGCGACTGTAGCAAAAGTTGATTTTTGCGGAAAACGAATGGACCAAAGACAGTCATTACCGTTCCTACCCAGATAACATGCTTACTTGGGGCAAGTTTGATTGTTCTTTGATTCTAAATTGCTGCGTCACATATACGAGGCAAGTTTGTGACAGTGTCGAAAATGAAACAAAAGATCGATAGATCGATGTATTGATATTTATTAAAATATCGATATATCAAAGGAAATATATCGAATAAATCGCAATAAACACGAAAGTATTTTACCAGTATTCTTTTTTATTAGACTTAATTACAAAAATACCAAGAATCTGTCATAGACAATATAGTTTTTTTCGTTCGATCCTATCTTCTACAGTTTCGGGTTTTAGCGACTTCAGTGCCATAAGTATTAAAAAAAAAATCGTTTGCGATACAATTTTCAATACTGAATATTTTGTATCGATATTTCGATACGTTGGATCAAAATATATCAGTTAAAATATTGATTTATTGAATTCAAAATAGCGATGTATCGATACATCGATACTTTTTCTGCAAGCCTACCCCGTGCTGAGGTCAGAGTTTTAAGTCGCAATCGCTTTTGGACGAAAATTTTTGAATGATCAAAAGATTAATAAAAACTTAGTAAACATAAAGTAATTTTTGCCTTGAAACCTGTATTCCATGTACTCAAGTACGTGAGTACCTGCTAGGTTTTCGAGACAGTACACTTACCTTTGATACGTCAAAGGTAGTGCAAGTTTGTCACGCTGAAACTAGACAGTTTGATTTAAACTTAATGTAAGTTGCTGCAGTTGTCATGGTAAACTTTCAGAAAGTCTTCTTTTGTGATGTATCAAACTTGTTGCAAGTCAGAAACAAGTTAAATTGCTATCTGGGCATTAACTAACATATTAAAAAACTGAAATTTAAAAAGTTCGAAACTGAAATATCAATACAAATACGAAAGTATCGTGATGACATCTAGTTAGATTTCGGGAACTAATGTTTTTTGTAAATACTTTCTCATTGTAAAAGTAATTTAAATTATTAACAATGTTTTACGGACATATTTGGAACACAAACAAAACAGTAACATTAAGATTTAAAAAAATACATTTGACCGGTCAACGCTCGTATTGTTAACATTTATTTTAGATATACGCGCAATCGTATGTATGTACCAAAGTTTTCAAATAATTGGAAGTTTATTTGGAATTATCACCGAAACACGCATAAAAGGATTCAAACTGATAAATAATTATTTTTGTAGTGCATCTATGTATTGTCGTCTAAACGAAATATTAATGTGTTGTCACATCCTTAGCTTTATTTGACGTTTTTTTATTAACTTCATTGCCTTTTCTTTTTTAGGTTTTTCTAGCTACAATAACATATTGCCAATTTGTGTTTTCAACGCAAGTGTTGTAATAGGAATAGACACCGTGATTAGGTTGAAAATGATTTCCCAATCTTTAGGAAATGCTAATATTCTGAGTAAAATGTTCTGTAGTAGATGCACAAGTACTTTAGCCAAGTTCGAAACTGTTTTTTCACTTCCCACAATAAAATACATTTCGCTGTTAAACAGACTCAAAGTTTATCATTTAGTTGGAACCAGCGTTGCTGTTCCCAGTAGTGGTTTATTAGAAATGGCTAGTCTAGTTCCAGATCACACATTTCTAACAACTTCTTATATAGGTAATCATAAATATTCACAATTTTAAAGATACCACAAACCCTTGCTTGGCTGCGTAATTTTTTCTTTTTGTGCTTTTGATAGAAATGTTCATGGCTGCCTTGGAGCGTGACTAAGTTAATGTAGTGAAAAATTGTCAATCTATTTGAGGAAAATATTAAGTATTTGTTTTCAGGTTTAACAGCTGCTGCTTTACTATCATTAGCAACATTGCCGTTCTCCAATATTATAGGATTTTTATATATTAGTGAAGATAAAAAGTTAATAAAAATTTCATCTGTTAACTTTTGGGGAAAGAGAATTGACAGAATTGTAAATGTTGATGACTGGATCCCAATGTTAGAATTACCAGCAAAAACTTTGGATCCAATTTATCTCTCTCCTCAATTGTCTGATGGTACTAAATATAAACTGTTTTTAAAATTTGGTAATGTACTAAATGAAAAAAGAATTGGTGAAGTGTTAGAGTAAGAATGGATTAAAGTAAATACATGGAGAATACTTTGGTCTAGTAGTTAGTTTAGTCTTATGTATAGTGGTTAATTGATGTGCAATTTTTATTTATGTAACACTGAATATCGTTAGGTACTTTTATATTCCTGAAAAAGCACTTTTAAAAACTCTAAAATCATTCATGCAGATATGTTAATATTTATGTAATTAGAAAGGTAAAATAAAAAACATTAATGTATTGTATCATTCTATTCTTAAATAGTGTTGAAAATCAATATTTATACTCAGTAATTTAGAATAAATATAATAAAATTATTTTCAAATGTGTCAATTGTTATACATAGATTCACAAAACCTTTTTTAATTGCATCCATATAAAAATGTTTCATTTTTATGATATTTATGTTTATTTTCTCAATTATTTATCTGCCTGTATATACAAATTTATAAAATTACCTACATCAGGAAAACAGTGGTTTGAATACAACTAATTCTACCCTTTTACATTGTGTTATTATGAGCTACAAGCAATCCACACTCTCATTACGGTGTCACTTTACACACACAAATTGCAACTATTTTATAAGGATGTTCACAAATATTTACAATATATGTTTTTTTAATATCAGTTTAATAATTTATTCTAAAAAGAAACAGACTTCATTTAGAAGATTATCTTGAAGTGCATAAGGCTCAGTAGTGCACTTGTAGCATTTCCATCAGATAAAGATAACAGTACTAGAATTATAATGTGTTTATAATACAATACATTGATACAGTTAACCTCAAGATAAAAATTGAAGAATTGTCCTACTTGTCCTAACAAATATATATAGCTACATAATTTCATACAGAAAGACTTAATTCCTTTGTTAATGTTACATTACAACAAAGTTATAATTAATCATAATTACAATAATTCTAATTATTTTATTGTGAAGCCAGTTGACTTATTATTTCAAATAATTATGCCACTATGATAATCAATAAAACAAAATACATTAAATTGGCATTTGTTCAGATATATGATGAGACTTATTACTTTATAACAGAGTTCGCTGATAAATACCAATAGATAAATATATTGATTGATTTATGTCAATTGATATTTATAATATTTATTATAAGTTAAAGAGTACCGAGTCTCAACTAGAAAATTAACCAACCTGATGTGACGGTTGCATTATTGGCCTAAAGTAGCAATCTTACTTGCTAGAAATTTTGGGATTCCCCTATAGGTTACTGGAAATCCTCACACTATTTAATAATAAATACACTAATATTAAATAACTTAAACTCGATCTTTATTTTACACCTTTGATTTAAAAGATTAAATAATAAATAAAGTCACTAGCAACTCAAAAATCGCAGCTTTTCATATACATATATATCAGATTATTGCGAACCCTGGTATATTATAATTCATAATGTAATGTATAATGAAAGACATCATTGGAATTGGACAAAAGGTTGAAATATGTATAGTTTTCATTATGTGGAGAAGTTTTAATTAATCTAACCAAGCTTGAGCTGGCTGATCTGTTGTAAATGGACTAACACCATTTCGTTCCATAGCATCTAAAATTTCACACACATATGCAGCGACATCGACTCTGCTTTGATCGATGCCTTTAATAAATGGATGCTCCAATAGCTTGTTATATTTCGGACGCTGGGTTTCTTCTTTAATTAAACTGAAAAGAAAAATTATGATTATAATAATGTCTCCCGCCGTAGATTTACAAACCGATGGCGTAGCTCTCGACTTTCACAAGTGTTTGTAACAGCCTAGACGAATAAGTAATTTTGAATTTGTTTATATTTATTCACAAATATTATATTCATTTTTATAATATATGAGCTTCCAGCCAGCGGCTTCGTCCGCGTGGTCTTTAGGGAACTGTTTAAATCAATAAAAAGTAGCTTATATGTAAAGTCAGGCTAGAATTATCCGTATACCGCACGGGGCGGGAGTGGGGGGGCGCGAGCGGGGTATAGCAAATGAGCTACATCTTCCTTTCACATCATAGATATTTTAGCCTTTTAATTTCTTGTCCAGTAATTTTAATTTTGCGATAACTCTTTATTTGATAAGGAGTTATATCATCCAAACGGAAAGTACCGTGGTGGAACTCAAAGCTGAAAAAGCTTAGGGAGAAAACACGAAAGTTATTCAATAGGGCCAAAATCACCCATGAATGGGATGCCTACAGGATGGCCCTAAACGAATACAGTAAACAAATTAGAAAAGCCGAGCGTGCATCATGGAGGAAGTTCTGCGAGGAGATAACTAATACGCCTCAAGGAGCAAGACTTCATAAGATCATGGCAAAGGCACACTGTAATCCCCTAGGTCTCCTTAAAAGACCGAACGGGTCCTTCACGACTAACGAGAAGGAAACCTTGCAGCTAATGGCTATCACCCATTTTCCAGGATCTACTGATAACGCAGTAGCGATCACTCTTCGAAGGCCTCTACCAGAGGACTGGAGAAGAGCCGCTCTCGTTATTGGGCCTGGAATGGTGAAATGGGCCATTAACTCGTTCAAACCTTTTAAATCTGGTGGAATTGACGGCGTAGCCCCGGTGCTCTTACAGCGGGGTGCCGCCAATCTCATCCCTTATCTGGTAAAAATCTTCAGAGCCAGTTTGGCCTGGGGATACATTCCAGATCCGTGGACTAAGGTGAAAGTCGTGTTCATACCTAAAGCTGGAAAGAAGGACTATACATCACCAAAGTCCTTCAGGCCAATCAGCCTTACGTCATTTCTTCTGAAGACCATGGAGAAGGTATTAGACAATTATATCAGACAAGGGAGTCTCATCAACAAACCCATACATGATACCCAGCACGCCTACCGAAGCGGCAGATCTACGGAGACTGCCCTACTCAGCCACCGCCACAGAATGCTGGTGAACACCTCTTCTTGGAGATTAGCCTGTGCCATACTAAAGCACTTCTCGGTGTGTATTACTGTCCCTCTTCTCGTATAAACTATTTTTCTTCTCTTGATAATATATTGGAGTCCCTTTGTCCTACTTACAGTCATACTATTATCATGGGTGACTTCAACACTTGTCTTCTTAAAAATGACTTCCGTTCAGCAGCTTTTCATTCGATTCTCCAATCTAATAATTTATTCTTACCTTCTTTGAATGCCACCCATAATTTTCCCAACTGCACTCCCTCGCTTCTTGACCTTATCATCGTTTCATCTTCTCAACATGTCGCTAAACATGGTCAACTCCCGGCTGATGCCTTCTCTTATCATGACCTGATTTTTCTCTCATGCAAGATCCGCCCACCAAAAGCTAAGCCGAAAATTCTATTGCAGCGTAATTTTAATGGTATTAACAACAGGAAACTTTGCGAGGATGCTGCTAAAATTGATTGGTCACAGCTTCTCGACAGTAACTCTGTAAATGAACAAGTGAATCTTTTTATATCAGCGCTCACAGTGTTGTATGATGTTCACGCCCCTATTCGACCAGTGAAAATGAAGCAACGACCATCTCCGTGGCTTACTGATGACATTAAACGTTTGTCAGAGCGGAAGGCTGCTGCTAAAAATAAGTACAAACGTAAACCTTCTTCCTCCAACTGGGAAAAGTATGTTAAAATTCGCAATCAATGCAATAAGGTGTGTAGGAGTGCACAACGCCAATTTATTCACAACTCCGTTGAAGTCGAAGATCCAGCAAAAGTCTGGAAATTCCTGAGATCTCTGGGCATAGGAAAACAGCGTCAAGAATCTACCTCTAGTAATTTAGATATTAATTCCCTTAATAGGCACTTCTCGTCTTCACATGGCCTTGATTTAACAAGCAAGTCTAACACTTTGGATTATCTTTCATCTCTTCCGTGCCCAGACTATCCACGTTTTTCATTTCATCAATTTTCTGACTGTGATGTTAAGAAGAGCATTATGTCAATAACCTCCAGTGCTGTGGGTGTGGACTCTATCAGTAGGAAAATGATTACCCTTATCCTTGACGAAATCCTTCCTATTATCTCCCATATTCTTAATCAATCCATAAACACGGGTATATTTCCTTCAGCCTGGAAAGATGCTTCCGTTATCCCGTTACCCAAAAAATCGAAACCACTATCCTTCACAGACTATAGGCCTATTTCCATTTTACCATTTCTTTCCAAAGTCCTGGAACGCCTTATTCACAACCAGTTGTCCTGTTTCCTTTTCAAAAATCAACTCCTTAATTCCTACCAATCAGGTTTCCGCGCTGGTCATAGTACTACTACTGCACTGGTGAATGTAACTGAAGATATAAGATCAGGAATGGAGCATGGTAAAGTTACGGTTCTCTCTCTACTTGATTTCAGTAACGCATTTAACACCGTTGACTTTGACATTTTGCTTGGCATATTGCGCTCTATTAACATATCTCCGGCAGTTATTGACTGGTTTCGTAGTTACCTGTCTGGGCGCCGACAGCAAATACGCATTGAGGATTCCTTATCTACTTGGTGTGATATTTCCGCTGGTGTACCGCAGGGTGGCGTTTTATCTCCATTACTTTTCGCTATATTTATCAACTCCATCTCACGCCAGTTAGTTTCATCCTACCACCTTTATGCAGATGATTTACAAGTTTATTCCCAAGCTTGTCCTGATCAACTGTCTCTAGCGATTAATGCGCTGAACCGTGACTTAGAAATAATTTGTGACTGGAGCAAGTCCTATGGCATAAAAGTAAATGCACTGAAAACCCAAGTCATTATTGTTGGCAGTCCCGCAATGACAAGTAAAATCAACCGCTCATGTTTACCTGCAATTTTGTTCGATGGTGTTGCTTTAATCCCTAGTGATAACGTACGAAATCTGGGAATAGTTATAGATAAAAACTTGACATGGGGACCACAGATCGAGCAGACGAGTCGGAAAATGTTTGCTGCGGCTGGTTCCTTGAAGAGGCTACGTAACTTCTTGCCTGTGGCCACTAAAATTGCGCTCGCACAATCCCTTCTTCTTCCAATACTGGATTACTCCGATGTCAGCTATCTAGACTTAACTGAGGAGCAACTGAATAAACTTGAGAGACTTCAAAATTTTTGTATTAGATTCATATTTGGGTTACGCAAGTATGATCATGTATCTGATTTTCGCACTAAGCTCAAGTGGTTGCCAATTCGACTTCGTCGGAATGCACATATTGTTTCCTTGCTTTACAGTATACTGTTCAATCCTCTCTCACCATCTTATCTTAAGGAACGCTTCAAGTTCCTTAGTGATACGCACTGTCGAGTTTTGAGATCATCGGAGAACCTAAAACTGCAGGTGCCTGTGCACTCCACAAAATTCCTTGATAAGTCATTTGCAGTTCAGGCTGTCCGCTTGTGGAATGCCTTACCTGAAGAAATAATGCGCGCTCCTTCATTAAAGTGTTTTAAAAATATGTTAAAGGAATACTATCTATCACTTTAGGAAGAAATGCTATCGTATCATCCTGTTATATTTATCTTGGTACTGTTTCATTTTAAATGTTTTTATGTATATTGTATTATATTATATTATATATGTTTATTATATTATATATAGTATATTATATTTATATGTAGAGGTATGTATATGTTATTTGTATGTATATATGTAGGTATATTTCTCTCGCAATGTAAGACACCATCTACTACCCGTCTATTTAGTAACAGTCCAGTCTAACCTACGGTTGCCTGGCAGAAATTGCTCTTTAGCGATAAGGCCGCCGATTGTACAACTAAACTGTATAAATTGTATTTTCTCTATAATTTATGGTGTACAATAAAGAATTTATTCATTCATTCATTCATTCACTAAACCTTATAGACAAGGTTGAAAAGGCACTGGACGATAAAGAAATAGCACTCGTTGCTTTTCTTGATGTGGAAGGAGCGTTCGATAACACGCCCACCGAGACATTAGTAAGAGGATTAGTCCATAAAGAGATTGACTCCACTACAGTAAGATGGATAAGAGCCATGCTAGAGAGTAGGACAGTGAGGATGGAACTACTCAACGATTCACTAGAGTTAGCAACAACAAGAGGATGTCCGCAAGGTGGAGTACTTTCTCCGCTACTGTGGACTCTTGCGGTGGACCAACTTCTCCATAAGATGGCTGAACTCCGCTTTGACACCCTGGGCTATGCCGATGACCTGGTGGTGATAGTGAGAGGAAACTGCCAAAGTATGCTATCGTACCTTATGCAGAGGGCGCTGAACACAATTAACTCATGGTGTAAAGACAATAATCTGTCGATTAATGCAGGCAAAACCGTGGTCGTCCCATTCACAAGGAAACGAAAACTGGATAAGCTTTCGCCTCCGACCATGAATGGGAGGCTCATTCCGTTCTCGACAGAGGTCAAGTATCTGGGGGTAACACTGGACCAGAAACTTACCTGGAACGCACATGTAGACGGAATTATACGGAAGTCTAAAGCAGCTCTGATGATATGTTGTCGGCTAGCGGGAAATAGATGGGGCTTGAAACCCAATATAGCCCTCTGGCTCTACACAGCCATCATAAGGCCGATGGTGTCTTACACCTCGGTGGTTTGGAGTAGAAAAACGACACAGAGTACTATCATATCAAGACTTAACAGTCTGCAAAGGACTGCTTGTCTTATAGTAACAGGAGCTATGTCTTCCACCCCGACTGCTGCCCTTGAGGTTCTGCTAAACCTGCCGCCCCTACATCTACACATTGAAATGGTGGCGAGGGCTAGTATGTACAGGATTACCAGCATGGAGGCGAAGACATGGCTGTCAGGTAATTTGAGGTACCTGAAGGACTCAATATGCAACATACCAATTCTGGGGATGCCTACTGACACCATGCCCCCGAGAGTCGATTCACACAAGTCATATCTTGTGGAGATACCCACCAGGGACGACTGGTTAAACAATCGTATAGTATGGAAAAATGGAAGCCTAAAGTGGTACACTGACGGCTCCAAATCCGGTCCTGAGGTAGGTTGTGGAATTTATGGAGAAGCCCCAAGGAAGGCTATAAGTCTGAATATGGGAAAGTACTCCTCAATATTCCAGGCGGAGGTGTACGCCATTTTGGAATGTGCGGCAGCCAATCTGCAAAACAACTACCTCAATCATACTATCTACATCCACTCTGATAGTCAAGCTGCACTCTTATCACTAGCCTCCGACGTAACTAGATCGAAGCTGGTCGAGAACTGCAAACAGACATTGAACTCTTTGGGCAACAAAAACAAAGTAGTTCTACGATGGGTTCCAGGTCATGCTGGACACGAGGGCAATGAACAGGCGGACAAACTGGCGAAGAAGGGTGCTAAAGACGCCCTTATCGGACCAGAACCTTTCTGTGGCATCCCTCAAAGCCTAACCCAGCTCACCTTGAAAACATACTGCCATTACGCAGCTATTCAACTATGGAGAAACACTCCCGGTATGAAACACTCTAAGACCCTGATTAAAACCTTCAACAAAAAGGCGGCATCAGAGGCCTTAAACTTAACCAAAAATCACCTTCGCACACTAGTACGAGCACTCACGGGACATTGTGGACTGAACAGACACATGTACAATATGGGAATCAGCGGCAGTAGAATGTGCAGAGGATGCAAGGAGGAGGAGGAAACACCTTTGCACATTTTGACCGATTGCCCGTCACTAATGCGAAAACGATGTATCTATCTGGGAAAGCACGTGATGCACCCAGACGATATTAAAGAACTTACGGCCAAGAAAATACTACAGTTCCTTATAGAATGTAATCTTGACCATGAACTGTAGTATGTGGAGATCACAATAGATCAGCAATGGTCGAAGTGATACTGGGCTGCATAAACCCAAGATAATCCGCAACTCGAAACAATAACAATAACAAAGGAGTTATATTGTACTGTTGAAAATTGCTTCATAAATAACATATGATTCTATTAAAATATTCCAGTCAAGCATGCAACAAGCAAGTGAGCAACAGACCGAGCATCCCAAGTGGTCTATGGAGCAAAGTTTATTTATCTATGTTTAGGTACCATATATTAAACTATGTGGTCCATGTCAGAAATCTGACAGTTGGTCCCAAAAGGTTAATGATTGAAAGGTTTAGAATCACTGATGTAGACAGTAACAAAGGGTTATTGCGGTGATGTGATTCTTGACTATTTAATGGAATTAATTCTACAAACTCATTTCTCGCACAGATCTTCCATAGTTCTGTAATATAGAATTTTGTAAATATCTATATAATCAACTCACCAAGTGTTTACAAAGTCAACGAAGTTATTGGAGAATGTGTTATTGTTATTTGTCAAGCGTGGTGGGTCACCCTGCACTACTTGTTGCAACTGTTCAAATACAGAGCCCCAACGTGGGTAAGGAAATGCGCCTGTTGCTACTTCCATTAGTGTTATTCCTAATGACCATACATCAGACCTCACATCATATCCTCTGGCTCGTCCAGGGTCTATTCGTTCCGGCTGGAAATATAAATATCATGTATATAAATAACCATTATTGATTTAATATAATGTAATGAGTATATGCTATACTCCTTCCAGCCTACTCATACACCCAGTGTCTGGAATTGAAAATTTTAAGTTAACATGACTCAAACTGTACTTAAGCCATTTCAAATGTCACTTAAACAGGTTTTAATTTTTTTAATAATCAGTTGATAGCAGTTTGATTAAACTAGGAGTTTGTCGTTGTTGAGACAATTGAGATTTTGTATTTTGGCCTGGAAACTGGCTGACAGACTATTAGTGAATAAAATATGCATTTTTATAATAATCACAATATTTAACATCCTCTATAATAGAAATTATTTTAATGAAATTAATAATCACATAAAAAACCATATAGTCTTCAATTTATTTCCAAACACACAGACTTTTAGGTTGGCTAGTTTAAGTATTATTTATAATAACCAATAGAAAAAAAATTGCTTACTGCCATATAAGGTCTACAACCAGCATCACGTGTGCGAGCGATAGAATCCACCAGCTTACCAGAAATGCCAAAGTCACATAGTTTAATGTTACCCTTTCGATCTAGCAGTATGTTAGATGGTTTGACATCTCTGTATTAAAAAGAAAACAGTTATAGGAGATTGTTATACATAAGACAAACAGTCAAATGGGCTTATTTCTAAATAAGAAACAAATGTCTGTGTGATTAAGATCAAATTATAAATAAATATATTCTTGCCTGTGTATGATTTTCAGTTTTTCCTTTAAATAATTCAAAGCCTTTACAGTAGCAAGTGTAATTTTAGCTATAATATTTTCGGGTATTCGAGTTTGCATTCTTTCACATATAAATTTATAAAATTTGTCTAGTGATGTATCCATCAATTCCATACAAATCCAACAGTCACCCTGAAAAAGGAGGCAATGAAGTAAATTAAAAATGTCAATGAATATCTTCAAATTAGGCAAGAAATACTCACTTCTTTAAATAAAGCACCATAGAACTCCACAATGTATGGGCAATCATTACTTTTCATAACTACTTCAAGATCCATTAATAGCTGCTTCTGTTCCTTTTCATCTACAGTAGAACGTATGCGTTTTACAGCCATTACTTTATTTGACCTGGAAATAATCAGCTATTAATATACTAAATTTTTCTCTCTGTTTAGTCTGGCTTAATGGTGAGGAGTGCAATTGTGGAGACAAGACAATCTCTTTACTATTATTATTCATACTCTTGAAGAAATTTTTTTCTGTAAAAAAATGACCCATATTGTCCACACAAACACTTTTTTAAACTCTTGAGGTTGTGCAATGTGCAAAACATAAAAGTCTGATGTTATAATAAAACTGCTTAGTACAATGCATAATAGTTTGGATAAATTGTAGTATAGTTAATCAACATTTAGATAATTGGTTCTGCACTGTACTTTAAATTAATAATCCTTTCATGTTATTGTAAATTTTAAAAATATGAATATTCAATAAATTAAATTTCTTACTTTCTATGTTCCATTTTATTAACAGCTCCAAATGCTCCCCTTCCAATCTCACCAAGATCTTGCAAGTCATCTGCTGTGAAGTCATACACTTCTGTTGCTGATAACTGTAATTTGCCTGATGATTGCATGGATGGATAAATTCTACATCTGTCTCTAGAATAGATAAATATGCATAAATTATAATTGATTGGATCTTTAATAAACCTACCACTACACAAGTCTATTTATATTATTTCTAGTATTAATAAGCACTGGCCATTCATAATCAATTAGTAACAAGCCATTTCACATCAAGAAGGTTAGTATTAAGACCTTATACCAATAGCAATAGTTTATGCACAAAATATATAAGAGTTCAAAATTCTAATAAAATTTTAGGTTATTAATTCAATGTCTAGCCTTTGCAAAACTTTCTATTACAATTAATGATCAGACATTGAAATTTATTTATTTTCATGTATTGAAATTTAATAAAGCACTGGTGTTTATTTGTCTCTGGAAGTTACATGTACTTTTAAAATGCTTGCAAATTACCTGGTATTTTCAGGTAACACATCTCTTATAGTACGTGATTGTATACGATTTCTGGGCGCAGATGCTGTATTAGTAGTAAATGGAACAAAAGCTGCATTACCACCGGATGGACCACCTAGTTGAAGGTCTAACACTTTACGCCTCTCTGTAGGGACTAAATTCAAGTCTGGTCTAGACAAACTCGGTCTACTAGAGCCTGAAACAGACGCGAAAGATTGTGATAGATCTAATATACTAAACATAATATAGTAGGGAACATTAAAATTTAAAATACGTGTGCGCCTTTACCTTGATTTGGTGTCACTTCGCCATTCTTCGACATTTTCGTGTTTGAATAAATAATCGATTCCACAGTTATGACTATTCTTTGGTGTAAACGATAACTTCTGAAAAATCCATTTGAAAATGATATCAATACAACTGGTCACGTTTTCAGTATAGCACTTTGGGAAATTAAAATATTCGTGTGCATTGTATCTACACAATCTTCAAACGACATCACTCACATCACAATCACATTGACTGACATTTTGACAAGCATGACTGTCTATGGAAGATCTATGGTACTTAAAACAAAGGGATGTTAACCCACACAGTCTAGTCTTTCGTGATATGGATTTGTTATAGTAGGGGAGCCCACGATGATAAATCGGGATTTACTCGAGCGTCATAGAGACCTAATTTAATTTTTTACAGTATTTTTTATTAATTATCAACTTCATCGCTAGAATCATCTTTCTCTTCTTCTCTTAGTAAATATGTAAAAAGTGTAATTCACAAAATGTACATTAAAATAACAAAATAAGCAAAAACGTTGGAAATACGATGTAAACAATATCACGCCACGAACGAGTCTGTGTCATCAGCTGTCATGGCGTCATGGCAACCGAAACCAGAGTGGGGACGGAGTGAGAGAGTAATAGATAGAAAAAGAGTGAGAGAGAAATAGTGATACGGAGAAGGAAATATAGGTATCACGTAACTGTACGCATTAAATCTTATCGATGATTTTTTATTACTTCGGCTTGTGAAAATCATCAGATTATATATTTTTCGTAATCCTTGAATGATTCCCTTCAAAATTAAAAAAAAAAACTAGGCACGCTCGAGAATGTCAAAGTAACATTCTTTTTTTACAACTTTGTAGCCTTCCCCCTTCTTTACGTCATTCTCAAATTAGAGGTATGTACACATTTTAGCATGTAACTAGCTCGCCTTACCTTAATCTGACGCGCTCGAGATTTTCAGATGATCAATTTTTTGACGTGGATACGTCTATGTTTTCGTTCTACAGGGGGGTCATTCTGTGAGCAGGAGTATATGCACTAACGCCATCTATTGGCGTATAAGTGAACTATGCTTGCTCTGCAGGGGGAGAGGCATTCTGTCAGCAGGAGTATATGCACTAACGCCATCTGTTGGCGCTAGTGAATACTTTTTTCATTCAATTAATGAACGCAACGAATATTTATTTATTTAGTGTTTAGTGTCTTCAATTTGTTTATTTATTTTTTTATCAATTACTCATATATCCATTCATACATAGACGTATCCACGCATAAAATATGGCTGTATCAATGATACAGCCATTTTTTTTTTTTACTAATCTGATACTTCGTCCTTGCCGGGCGGCCATTTATATAGGGCTTATACTTGGTCCAGGTACTTAACTGGGTACAAGGTATCCCCCTGTATATTAATCTGCCGCGCTTTAGTAAATCCCGAAATCTCCGCTTGGGCTCCCCTACTATTATCTTACGACCTTAATCAGGGTCAGAACACAATTTTTAGTTTAGTATCTTCTGGATTCCATATCTCAAAAACAATGCACAGAACTAATTGCCTAGAGCTTCGTATATCACGCGATGGTGACGTCGTACGAGAATAATGAGGAAGTATTATAAAAATAAAAATTAGGTCTTGAAATCAATCTATTATATATGTCCGTATCTTGTCTATGATATTAATTCAAATTTTGTTTCCGACGTAATAAAAGTAATTGTATTAAAAAAAAGTAAATTGATTATCGAAAATTAATAATTATGAGATCGTTTCGTGTTTCTTATAATATCTTACTTTCAAATTATTTCCTTCTCTATGCTCACTTCCCTTTAATTTAGTTTCCAATTTCCTTTATACAAATAAAAAACAAATTTATTCAAGGATTAGTTCGTATTAATCGTTGCATTTGCGTAACTCGAACTACCTCACGAGGAAGTATTTAAAAAAAAACGAAAGCACCTCCACTAGATGGCGACCCTAGAGAAAGTTTATTTTTGCACTAAAGGAATGGACCAAAGGCAGTCATTTTCGTTCCTTTTAACTAACATATTAAAAAACTGAAATTTGAAATTTTCGAAACGTAGATATCAATAGAATATGAGTTGTTTATTGAGTTTTGAAAACTAATTTACTTTTAAACTTGAAAGAAAACCGGAATGGTTGTCATGGAGAAATCAAGAACGTACCGTGACATCTAGTTTGATTTCGGGAACTAATGTTTATTTTTTCAACACTTTCTCATTAACTTTTTAACATAAAAGAAAATTGGAAAGGTTGTCATGGAAAAATCAAGAACGTACCGTAGCAACATCTAGTTTGATTTCGGGAACTAATGTTTTTTTTAAATGCTATCTCATAATCACATACATATTTAATTATTAATGCGATTTTTGATTTGTGTTTATTCGTCATCATCTTTTATTCATTTCATTTTACATGTAGAATTTTTTTAAATTATTTTATTCACTTTACATTGGCAGAATTCACATTTTTTTTACTTCCGTTTCTCAACGTAAAACATGGAATTCAAATTCAAAATTAGTATAAATTATAACTGGATAACCATGAGGAATGAACAGTTTTTCAGTGTGGTCCGGGCTAACATTATGCTTGGAATGTTGTCAAAAAGATTGAGAACAGTCTACATAAATAAAATTATATAATACTATATGAATAAAAATAATTTAATTTCTTGTTAATAATCATTTTGTATAATTAATTACATACTGATGTAACTATTGCAACTTATTTACAAATATATTAAGCTATTTTTTTGTGCTTTTTTAATTTCCTTCTGCCATCAACTTCATCTGTTTCTCCATATGGGTCTTTGCTTTTCCTTTTATTTTTCGGTTTTTCCTTATCACTATTCACAGAAATTGAATTCGACATAATTTCGAGTTGCTTGTCAGATGATACGTCACACATTTCATTTTTAGGTGATGTATTTGATTTAATGGCCTTATGAAAATCTGCCACAGCATCCTCATTTTGCTGTTGTAAGTGTGGCTTTGTTTTGTCAAAATTGATATATGAAACATTTATTGTTTGATTTAAGTCCACATCTTCTTCAGTATCATCAGGACTTTGTTCTAAGCACCTGTGAAAAAAGTGCAAAAATGCTATAAGTAAAACAAATAGTAAATAACATACCTGTAATCCGACATGGTCTATTATTTATTATTGAATATATTTTGAAAATTTTCACTAATGCCTGGTTGAACAATTTACAACTTGTATAAACCATCACTTTTGTGCTCGGCACGCAAGATATTGTTTTAATCGTGATTGCTTAGATAGAATTTATTTATTTATAACAAGGTACACCAACAGCAAAACACATACAACATTCACAACATCCAAAATAATTCACAAAAGGTTCAACTTCAATGCGCTCGCCAATTACAGGTATACACAGCATTTACCATAACAATACAATTATTGATAAAATAAAATAAAATCAATGGCACTTAACTGAATTACAGAAATTATATTTTATACGGAGTGTGAACTGACTGGCTGAAAGTAATTGCTTAATTTTTTCCTGAAAATAGCAGGGAAATCATTGAAAATGTCAATAGTGGGTACGTCTTTCAAAATTTCGTTGTATTGCGTACATATCCTAGCTATAGGATAATGCATTCCCAAATTTGTTCTATGAGCTTGCATGCTGAATAATTTGCGAATTCGGTATCGGGGGTACTTGTAAGGGACCGCAATTCCGGATTTCGTTAAGAAGAGAGGTGCTGTTTACTTTGTTATTAATGATTTTATATAAGAACATCAGATACGCTATCAAACGCCGATTCTTCAAAGATTTTATTTAAAAAAAAAGTAGCCGTTGATTGTAAGGTTGCCTGTAAGATATACCTGGAGTGGAAAAAGCCAAATACCTTGTGAATGCTCTCTGTATCGATTCTATACGCTGTGACCTAGCAGCATAAACAGGATTCCAAGCAACACTTCCATACTCAAGATGACTGCGTACGAGAGCATTATAAAGAATTTTCTTAGTTTGTCTATTTCGGAACTTTTTAGCATTTCTTTTTAAAAAAACCTAACATGCGGGCCGCGCGCTGTACTGAATTCTCAGTGTGAGTACAAAATTTCAATTTTTTATCCAGCACAACTCCCAAATCTCTAACCTCCTGATCTTCCGTCAGAGTCACGCCGCTCAACATGTAACTGGTATTAAAAGGGCAGTGTTTTCTGGTGAAGTCAATGTGGTGACACTTGGAAGGGTTCAACAACATTCCATTATCAACACACCAATCGTGAATTTTGTTCAGATCGAACTGTAAAAGACCAGCGTCCACCATACTGTTAATAGTTTTAAATATTTTAATGTCGTCAGCAAATATGGATATACCGCTGTGATCAATCACTTCAACTATGTCGTTGATAAAAATTAAAAACAGTAATGGTCCCAGATGTGAGCCCTGTGGCATACCGGACTCCACGAAGAATATATTGGACTCAAATCCATCAAAAGCCACCGTCTGAGGTCTCATGGATAGATACGACGAGAACCAAAGCAGTAGTGACCCATTCAGGCCCATTACACGGAGTTTAGACAACATGACCTGGTGATTAATTTTGTCAAATGCATTCGAGAAATCCGTGTATATTGCATCCACTTGTAGGCCTCTATCCATACTCCGTGATACAGTCGAAACAAAGCATGCCAAGCTTGACTCCACCGATCTACCTGGCATGAAACCATGTTGAACATCTGTTATATTCATATGCACGTGACTGTAGATTACTGGATACACAAGGCACTCAAAAAGCTTAAAAAAACATGACAGAATCGAAATTGGCCTATAGTTAGTAATGTCCGTTTTATCATTCTTTTTGTGAACTGGCACAACTCTAGCCTTTTTACACTCATCTGGAAATGTTCCATCATTCAAAGAGCGATTAAAAATTGTTGTTAAAGGTGAAACAAGAGCAGAACAGCAATTCCTCACAAATAATGGTGGTATATTATCAGGGCCAGGACCCTTAGTAATATTAAGTTTTTTTATTTGTGAAAGCACCTGTGACTCATTCAACTGAATACTACAGATGCTATTGTTTGTAATGTCTTTAGGACTAATATTTACAATATTAGTTGAATAGGTTGACGAGAAATGACTTGCAAATAAATTTGCAATATCAGTGCCTGAGCATGCTGTCGAATCGTACAATTTCATTTCGGCCGGTAGTACGGAGACACCACCGCGTTTGTCCTTGATATAACGCCAAAACTTTTTCGGATCCTTACAAATACTGGACTCAATTTCTGAGAGGTACTTTTTAAGACAAATATCAGTTAGCTTATGGCAACGTTCTCGTAGAATATTGTATTCATGTTTATCCCTGGGGTTTTTGTATTTGACGAACCTTTTACGAGTTATATATTTTCTTTAAGTAGGCGTTTAAGATTTTTTGTAAACCATGGGGGATATTTAGATGGCTTTGGTATATATTTTGGTACGTATTTGACAATTTCAACCCTTAGTTTATTATAAAATTCAGTAACAAACTCATTCACATCTTTACAATCCTTAAAAATATCTTCCCAGTCAGTAAAACTCAGTACATTATTAAGTGCTACATAATCTGCCTTGTGAAAGTTATATATTTCTCGGGTCTTACAAGGCCCGAGGCCTGAAACAGTGGTATCATTTGTTAAATCAGCAGTAATTAGTAAATGAGGGTGGTGTATGTCCAATTTACTCAGTAAATCTAAGGGCTGGGAAATACGCAAGTGTCTTTGATTACTCAAGACCAGATCCAAAGTTCTACCAAGATAATTTTTAATATTATTGTACTGATAAAGGTTATTTATTGATAAAAAATCCACAAGCGAATATCCCAAATCGTTGCTATAATCAGTAGGCACGGAGTAATTGCAGCCATTATTAGAAATCTATAATATATAAAGCTTAATTACCACTGACTGACTGACTGACTCACTCCATGCTTTTTTCGGGTAGAAAGAGGGGGAAAATGACGTTTTCATGTATGGAGACTGATTATATTTTTTTTAAATGAGTTGAAGTACCATATCGGTACAGCCAAAAAACAAAATGGCGGCGAGATAATTTTTTTAGTTTCTACATTATTCACTTTACGAGTACGATATTCGAAATGGTCGTAGAGTGGGCTAAAAAAATGGCAATGAAAAAAGGTTTGTTAAAAAAAACAAAATGGCGGCCGAGATATTTTACCTCGAAAATTGACATTTTTCGACCTCTGTTCGGGCGATTGTCATTTTTTTTTTTGTGGGTCCGGAGGGGGGATTTTTGCTCCTTCAGCTCGGAAGTATAGTCAATTTTCACGTAGAGGGAGTTTTCATTTGCGCTTCAACATGGCGGCGGCGGGGGCGGCCATTTTGTTTTGGCAATGAAAAATCGCCATTTTCCAGTGAGATTTTCTCCAAGATGGCGGCAATGTACTGGTTTTCTTTATATGGGGCGGTCGTAGGGCTCGGTAGGATCTTTCCATATTAGTACTAATTTCTACCATTTTTGTGGTAGTTTATGAGATTTTGGGAGAAAAGTGAAATTTCGAAATACGCACTTTTCGCGGAAAACAGACTCAGTACGGTGTGGTGCCGGGGGAGCCCTATGACTTTTGGTAGTTTTCGTTTCTGCGCGTTGACAACCCTGGGCTGCACGGTAGAAAACATTTTTTTCGACATGCCCTCATAACCCGAATTGTTTGGGAACCTGGGTGGCCAGCGGAGAAAATCTGTGAATGAGGTGTCGCGCCAAATATAGTCGTGACTATGGGAAAATTATGAAACTCGGGAAAATCAATATGGCGGCGGTGGCAGCGGCCATTTTGTGATTTTTTCACTTTTTCGAAAAATTCAAACGCACTTTTAGGAGACATGGCAACATTGGAGCTCTTCGCCTTGTATGGACCGATCGTGGATCACTGCTGGCTCTTTTGTATGAGGTGAAAATTTTTCCCGATTTTAGGGTAATTTCGGAGATTTACCCCAAAAAGGTGAAAAGTAGAAGGAGCCGTTTGGGAATTTCAAAAATGAATTTCCTCGACGGAGGGCACTCTCCGAAATGACATTTGACCATTTTCATCGTCATCACCTGGCAACCCTGGTAGTTGCGGGGATTTGAAAAATTTTGCCCATTTTTTACTTTGTCGACTCTAGCGCAGTCGGTATTGCCACTAGGAAAATGGTAAAAAGTGCATCGGATGCGCTATCGAGTTGGCCACACCGGTACGGAGCCGGATTTTCAAAATTCAAGATGGCGGCCAAACCAACGGCCGTTTTATCTGGAAAATTGGGTATCATCACCGCATCGAGCCGATTTTGACGCACTTGGCGACATTTGTCAGACTACTTCCGGGGAAACAATTTTTAGGCAAGTAGCTGAGGTATTGCCAGGTGAAAAAAAATCTTGAAAATTTTTGATACTTTATGAGATTTTTGGGGAAACACTTTTTGTCGAATTTTGAATTTTTTTCGATGCAAATATTTTAATTTTAACTTTTCAAGTTACCCGATGGAAAAAATAGAACGATCGACTGGCAACACTGAGAGCAAACAACGTTTGAAATTCAACCTCGATTTTGACCGACTTGGCAACCCTACAAGTATTTGGCATGTATGGAGCGATTGTGTGTCTCTATAGACTCTTTCATATGGTGGAAAAAAATTACCCGACTTTAGGGTAGTTTTTGAGATTTACCCCAAAAACTGTAACTGTCAAAGGAACACTTTTAGAACTTGAAAATTAGTATCCGTCGATGGAAGGCGCGTCCCGAAATCACATTTGACTATTTTCATTGCCTACACCTGGCAACACCGGCAGCTACGGCGGGTTGAATATTTAATGTCCACTATTCACGTTTTGGACTCTAGCGCAGTCATTATAGCCGCTAGGAAAATAACAAAAACTGCATTGGATGCGCCAATAGGTGTGCTACACCGGTATGGGGTTCAATTTACAAAATTCAAGATGGCGGCTTTAACAGCGACCATTTTATCTAGAAAATTGATAATTTTTCACGACTTTCACTTAATAGAGCTGATTTTGGCGTTTTTGGTAACATTTTTAAGAGCACTTTTGACAAAAAATATGTATT